AGTGTCCAGGTGTTGATGCCCTCTGATGAAGGATGGTGTGAGGGCCCTAGCTCTCCAGGGTTGGGACCAGGCCACCCAGGGCTTTCCCCAGCTAGTTGATGGAGTGCATCTCAGATAGGAAGGGCCTGGGTGTATGCCAGAGCTGTGCATGGGGCCCAGTGTCCAGACTGGAAGGAATGTCCTGCCTCTGTCCGCGCTCTTGTCCTGGCTTCTCCCACCATTGAGTTTCTCAGGCTGTTTCCTCACCCTCCCACTGCTCGGCATCAGGGCCTCTCTGAGGTCTGGAGCTCACCAGGGGCAGTACATTTCACCTTAGGAAGGTGGTTACTCAGATTGTGTCTACTGTCTTCTGGGGCTTGGTGATGGTGGGGTCCTAGGTGAGGATAGAGGGGCCTCTTCACTGGTGTCTGGGCTGGTCCTGAAGGCTGGTACCCACTGGACATCTCTGTTTGTCCCTCTCTCTCACAGGAATCACTCTTCACAGAGTGGCTCAAGGGTCTGAGGTGAGTGGTCCAGGACACTGGGCAGGGCTACAGAGCTTTTATGTCCTGTGCCCAGATCACACACTGTCAGTCTGGGCTTGCCTCCCTTTGACGGGTAAAGCAGCCACAGGCCCCTCCAGATTTGGACGAGGGGATAGACTTATCCTCTTGATGAGAAGAAAATAAAGGGTTGTAGTCTTGTTTTTAAATGGCCACAGTAGCTGGGCGTGATGGCACACACCTGTAATACCAGCAACTTAGAGGCTGACTCAGGAGGATTGCAAGTTCAAGGCCAGCCTCAGCAACTTAGTGAGAACCTGTCTTGAAATAAAAAATAAGAAGGGCTGGGGATGTGGTTCAGTGACAGGGTGCTTGCATACATGTGTAATACCCTAGGTTTAGTCCCCAGCACCACAAAAATATGAATAAAATGTCCAAAGCCATATTCCCACAGTGTGCCACTACTCTCCTCCCCCAGACCCACCAGACCCTCGTGACACAGGTATGTGAACTCTGGGCCAGTCCCAGGATCTCATCCGAGAGAGGCCTGGTGTGAGTGGGGGTCACTCTCTTCAGGTCTGGGGGACGGGAGTGTAGGGCAGGCACTTTCCCTGGTGTTTGTGAGGCGTGCATGGCCTGCCGATTTCGGGGCCCTTCTAAGACTCTTTCCTTCTCCCTGAAAAACAAAGACATTTTCCATCCCGTGTGTGTGTCTGTTCTTTTGGTCTCCTCTGAAGAATTCTCTTCTTTTAATGAGACTGGGTGTTACCCTCTCCCCTTGTCTGACCTTGAACTTGGGATCCTCTGTTCTCAGCCTCCAAGGTAGCTGGGTTTTCAGGCACGTGTCATCATGCTTTGTTCTGACTTAATTTCTTTAAAACCATACTGGTTTCCGAATACGGTTTTAAAGAAATCACTGGACCTCCTCGCTCGCCTGGCTGGTAGTGGCATATCAGTTTCTCCATCTTTCCCACGGATTGGGCCATGTGTACAGAACTCTATTATGCTATTGACCCTTTCCATCTGTGTCCAACCACTGAGGCTGATGTGGGCAGTGCCCCGGGAAGCCTGTGTTGTCCAGCACAGGGGCCTGCAGGTATTGCGTTCTTTTCGTCTATCTTGTGCGTAGGGTCCTTTTTTTTTTGGTACTGGGGATTGAACTCAGGGACACTCAACCACTGAGCCACATCTCCATCCTATTTTGTATTTTATTTAGAGACAGGGTCTCACTGAGTTGCTAAGCACCTCGCCATTGCTGAGGCTGGCTTTGAACTCACGATCCTCCTGTCTCAACCTCCGGAGCCACTGGAATTGCAGGCATGTGCCACTGCACCTGGCAGCATAGGGTCTTTGTGTTACCAGCAACAGTCTAGATTTGACCTTTGCCCGACGATGTTAGGGATGTGCTGTGCCTCACTTTGACCTGGGTGTGTAGCAGCAGTGCTGCCTTGTGCCTCTGGAGATGTGGATGCCACAGGGAAGGAGTGCTGAGAACAAGGTCTGGCTTGGCTGTCCCAGGCCTGCTTCCCAGAATACGGAGGGACCTCCCCACTCACCTGGCTGGTAGTGGCCTGATGCTGGACAGAAGAAGCTGCTGCCCCGACAACAGGAAGCTTGTTCACTGGAGGTCGTCCCAGGCTGTCATGGCTTACTCCTCTTTTTGGTCCTCGTGGTGCATTCTAGCCCTAAGGCTGGGCAGCCACCCGGAATCCAGGATGGGAATCACCTCTCGTGGGCCTCCCAGGCACCCACACTGCTGCTCCTTTGCCCAGGTGCGCCTCGCTAGCTCCTTCTGGATGTCTTCCTGGCCTGCTGCCTGGCCCTAGTGCAGCCTGCCCTGTGGTCGGCACAGCCTTCCGTGCCCCTCCTTGCACTCCATGCGCCCTCCTGGGCTCCAGCTGCTTTGCCTGCTGTTGCTCCTCCACGGATGCCCGGTGGCCCCTAGGTGGGTGTGGCTCCCTGTGCACTGGTCCTTCAGTCCTGCTCTGCCTCTGTTCCTCTTGTGCACACCATGCTGCCCCCAAGGTCTTTGGGTTTTTCCACCCCATCCTCTGTCCCTCCGGCCGCTTGTCCTCTTACGGGGCTGCAGGTAGCAGTTAGAGTTTGAAGCTGTGCACTGCTTCACCCACTAGGAGGTGCCTGTGTGGGAGTCCTGGCCTCGGATCTCTGTCCCCTCATCTGGAGAGCTTACCACAGAATTCCATGTTCCCTTGACTGGCTGAGGTCCCTGGAGTCAGCCTTGCCTGTGATCTCCTTCAGGGGCAGCTCAAGACAGGGATGACCCTGTCCTCAGGTGGCTGTTTGCGGCCTATGGTCAGCTAACTGCGTGGGTCTGGGCAGACCTTGCCACCTGGTGTTTTCACCTGAGAGTGAGGGGTGCAGACATCCAGGCTGCTTAGGGTCCCCTGTTCCAGAGAAGACAGACTGCTGTGAGCAGGTCACACCTACATTCCATTTGCGTTTTGGATATTTTAGCAGTCTTTTTCTTAAAATTTAAGTTAAAAAAAAGTGGGTTTTTTTTTTTGAGAGAGAGAGAGAAAATTTTTAATATTTTATTTTTTAATTTTCGGCGGACACATCTTTGTTTGTATGTGGTGCTGAGGATCGAACTCGGGTCGCACGCATGCCAGGCGAGCGCGCTACCACTTGAGCCACATCCCCAGCCCAAAAAAAGGTGTTCAATGCCCAACTGCAAAACATCTGTCTCCAAAATTCAAATGGATGAGGCTTTCCTAAATCTGCTATTCCAGGGTGACCCTGTTCAGGTGGCCCCAGTGTCGCATCCTTTGGGAGCTGGGCCCAAGGCTGTCATGCACATCGATGCTGCCATCTGGTGGAAACCAGGTGCCCTGCAGCCATTGAGTTGAGCGGGAATGGTGTTCCTTGGAACCCTGGGTGCCCTGGAAGTTCTTCCCCTGAGGCACCCCTCTCTTTGCTGAGGGCTTGCCAGCGCCAGGTTCCCCTGGTGTGCCTACAATGCTGTGCTCGTGGTCTAGCTTTGCCCAGCTTGGCAATAGTGACGCACAGTGACAGATGATAAGCTTATGGTCTCCTACAGGACTCTGGAGGCTTGGGGGCGTTGCCATTGGGACTCATGGGGTGTGGTGCTTGGCAGGTACCTTGGGCCCAGAGGGCCCCTGGAAAGAGATTTGAGACACCTGGGGCCTGGCCTGAGACCAGAGCTGTAGATGCGTGCATGCTGACTGAGGTTGGTGTCCGACTGCCCCCACCCAGGGGTCTGCTGGCCCTGGAGGTGGCCTACCAGATGCTGCCTCTGAGTGTGTGGGCCCTGTTCCACGCCAGTCTGTTGGGGGGTGTGTTCTGGGCCGAGGCAGGAGCTTAGGACTCACCCACCCTGTGTCCCATGCCAGTCGGTGCTGACCCACTTTCAGCAGGCAGGCAGCAGGGAAGTTGGAGGTGGGGAGATGTGGAAACTGGATCCCGCCTTGTTCCTGGCCTGGAAAAAAACTTAGTCTCCCATCTTTCTTTATATTGAGGGAAAAACAGACGAGGGAAGAGCCAGGCCTTTGGCTCCTGCCCTGGCAGGAGGGAGAGGGGCTCCGGGTGGGGGGCGCCCGCGCACAGGGGTTCCTGCTCTGAGCACTTTACTGCCCCCAGGGGTGAGAGGTGGGCCTGTTTTCCCCATTAGTCCTGGATCCTCCAGTAAACCCGATCTGACTGGAGCCGTCGCCTCCTCGGTGGCGGTGAATCTGTTTTCCAGGTTGGGGTGTGAATCCTCTGTGGCGCCCACTCTCTGACCCAGTGGGATGGGGTCAGCCTGGGGTCGTGGACACGGTGGGTGGGGAGGGTGCCTTGGGGCGGCACACAGCTGGCCCTTACTGGAGCTCCAGGCATTCTCAGGATGTGGGGAACCTCTCTGGGCCCTTGGCACAATTGAACATGGCTCTTAGCAGCTCCTGGCAGTGGCCAGACTGCCTAGGGGCAAGGGTCTCACCCTGGGGAGTGGGCTGCCGATGGCCCATGTGACAGGTCAAAGGCATGCAACACCTTGTGCCCCCTCTGACCATTGCCCCCAGTGGTGGCTTTGCCCCTCCAGCAACCTCCTCTGCTGGATCTGGGCCCAGTGGGGGCCAACATGGGGCAGATGTGACAGGGGCCCTGCAGCAGGTTTCGGAGGGAGGGGGCAGATGGGAGTGAAGCCTTGCTGCCAACTGCTCTGGGAGCCTTGCTCCTTTCCTAGTCAGGCACCTGGTGTCAGCTCCTCTGAGGGCTACAAGAGGGTGTAGACTGGACCAGCCTTGAAAGAGGACCAGGGAAGACCCCTGGTGCCAGCCATGGCAGCTCAGGTCCCCAGAGAGCCACTGGGAACTGGGTGGCCTCCATTCCGCACTGAGGTCGAGGGCCAGGTGGAGCTGCTCAGAGACTGGGGCAAAGGGCTTCCTGTGGCTGATGTCCCAGGCCTCGGCCTTGGGTGCAGGTCTTCCAGGGACTGGGGCTGCCTGATGTTAGAGGACATCTTGTGCCTCCTGAAGTAACACTCTTCCCCTTTCTCTGCAGTCTCACACCACTTGCCTGACGACAGAGATGGCTGGAGTGTCATGCAGGGACGAGTATGCAGAAGACAGCTCTGATGAAGAGGTGGGGCTCAGACTTGCTTTCCTGCCATGGCGGTGGAGGGGGGAGTGGGGGTGGCTTGCACCATGATCAGAGTGGGCACTAGGTTTCAGGCCAGGGTGACCCTGGGGTCTGTTGAGGCATGCCCACAGGTGGGTGGTGCTGCCTAGGGCACAGGAATCCAGGGCCTTATGAGGCTGCTGGGCTGTGTTGTGGGCGTCCTGGCTTGGGCCCTGCTCCCATCTGGAAGAGTGATTTTGGGGTCCAAGACAGATGATTACGAATGTGTCATTGCAGGTGATGGGAGAGGAGGGTTGGATGTGGCTCAGCAGCCCAAGCCTTGTCCTGTAGACAGGCCCTGTGACTCCTGGGCATATGTGTCGCAGGGTGCTGGTGCTGCCCTCACCCCATCCCGGGTGCTTCCTGAGGGCTATGCTGCTTCTCCACTTGGGTGTGGAGGGGCCAGGACATGGCTTGAGCACAGACCCCAACTCCTGTGGGTTGGGTCACAGGAGTGCCAAGGCTGAGGGCAGCAACTGGCTCTGGCCCTCCCTTCTCTGGCGGCTGTTGTGACCGGGCCACTGCCTTTGACCTCTGATCGAGTTCCAGGGGCTCTCAGGAGAGGCAGGGAAGTCTGCTTGTTTCTCCCACAGAATTTCAAGGGTACGGGTTAGTGTGGTGCCAGTTGGGGTCAGTGGGAGCTCGAGAGACTGACGGGCTGTGTCCAGGAGACCAGGGCCAGGAGAGTCTGGCAGCTCTGAGGAGCGCTGAGCCCAGAGGTGGTGGGGCTGGCAGCCAGTCCCCTCCCTGGTGTGGCCTGGCCACAGGCAGGGCGGTAGCCCTGTGGGGAGTTCCAGAAAGTGAACCTAGAGCCTCCTCTATGCCTGGGGGTTTTGGTGTGAGGCCTACAGGGACAGGCCCTCCTCCTCAGGAGCTCTTCCTGCCGGCCTGTTAGGAGCTGTCCCCAGGGTCTGCGGGGGACACGCGCCCCTCCATGGCTGGGCGTCCTCCCCCATCCTGTGCTCTCTTGGCAGTGTCTGCAGGAGCCTTGGCCGCCGGCCCAATCCCGTCTCTGCTGCGCGTTCAGAGAACAGAGACAAAACAAAATAAATTGGTTTCCTGGCCGGAGCAGCGGGTGTACTTGGAGAGGGGGCCGCGCGGCGCAGCTCCCTGCCTGCCTCCCCTCCCCCAGGGGGCTCTGGCTGTCGGCAGCCACATCCTGTCGGCTACTTTTTTATATTTGGTATTTTGAGAAATCAATGATGATTGTAAATGGAGTGCAGAGGCCAGGGGAGGGCCTTCCAGAACTGGGCAGGACCTCAACCGGGCCTGCCTGCCCCTGCCTACCCCCAGGGGGCGTGCCTCACTTGGCCTGTCCAGGACCTGTCCAGTACCACTGCAGAAGGGTTGGGTGGCCCCCACTGTGCCTTGAGGAGGCTCTGGACTGCGGGGGCTGCTTCCTCCGGTGATGACTATCGCATGTGTCAGTGTGAGTGACAGCGCCGGAGCAGAGACGCCTGCCCACCTGAGCTTCTGCCAGCACAGCCGGCCAGTGGCTCGAGGGGGCGGCAGAGCTCAGCTTTCAGGAGCTGTGCCGGGCCCAGACAGATGCACCGCCTCTGTGCATGAGGGGCCAGCCCCATCCCATGGTGCACCTGGCCTCCGCATTCAGCAGAGCAGGGTGCTGCAGGTGGGCTGTGGATGGCCGTGCCTGGCTCAGGGCCAGGCCAGGTGAGCAGAGCCTGACCCGCTGCAGGCTGCGCTGCAGCTCTGCACAAGAGCCCTGTGCTCTGCGTGGGCATGCTGCAGTTGGCTAGGACCCACGAGGGCTGCAGCCTGCTGCTGAGGCTAGCCCCTGCTTGGACTTCCGGTGGGTGGCCACTTCTCTTGACAGTGTCCTCAGAGGGGGCTGGTAATAGCAGGATCCCAGGGCATCCCCAGTCCCCAGCCAGCCACAGGTACCTGGCAGAACGGCCAGGTAAGTGAGTCCTATCACCAGAACTCTAGAGGGCTCTGGACGGCAGCAGAGAGGGTACCCCAGGAGCAGAAGCCTCAGCAGGCGTGGAGAGGGCTGGCAGCCACACGGTGTGAGGGAGGCCTGCATGGCCGCTGCTGGGGCTGGACATGCCACCTGACCATCCCTCCCCACTTCTTCCCTGCCCACTCCCTGGGTCTCGCTTCTGGGCCCTCTGACTACTGGCGTCTGCCAGGGCCCCCTTCAGGAACATCCCTCCCCTTGGGACACTTACTGGGGGTCAAACCCAGAGGTGCTCTACCACCAGCTCCATCCTCCGGTTCTTTTTTATTTTATTTTGAGACAGGGTCTTAGTAAGTTGTGGAGATGGGCCTCCAACTTGCAGCCCTCCTGCCTCAGCCTCGGAGTTGCTGGACCACCGGCCCCACTGACTTTGCTAAGTGTGGAGCAGATTCTTGGTCCTGTTCACTGGGCCTCCGGTTCCCTCCCCGCAGATTCACAGCCAGGCTGCCTGGAGTGTGGGCTGAGTGCAGGCAGGAGGGGGGGAGCCCCTGGATGAGTTGCTTCTTCTCCTGGCGGGGGTCCTGGCGTGGGGGAGCCCCTGAGGAGCCTCTGCATTGCGCCGCCCCACCCCCGCACAGCCACCTCACCCCTCCCCACAGCACCCGGGTTCTGTAGACGTGATCTCATCCAGCGTCGGGACCCCTGGGAAGGGGGCTGGGGTAGAGTTCGGGCAGATGGCCTTGTTTGGTCCTTTCTTTCTCTGCCTGTCAACCACTGGGAGAAACTGAGGCTGGGCCTCCTGGTGGAGGAGCCTCCCGCTCTCGTCTTTTCCTGTCCAGCAGGCCTGTGGCCCTGTTTGTCTAGGAAGCCTGGCTAGGAGGAGGGGTTGGAGGCCCTGGCTGGGAGGAGCCATGCCCCTCATTAGTTTACCCATCCATTCCCCACAGGCACTGGCCTGGGACCATCCACTAGAACCCTCTGGTGGACCTGGGGCTGGGGGCTGGGCCGCGCCGCAGCCCTGCCTGGCTCCCCAGCACCCCTGGCTCTGCTTGGGCTGTAGCTTCGGGATCCCGCGGGGACGCGCCCGGCATGTCTGCGTCCAGAACCCGCGATCCCCTCTGCTCTCTCGCCAAACACCGTTAATGGCTTCTCCCAGCTACTGAAACGGCAGCTGCCTCCAGTGCTGGCGGCCTCCTGCTCCTTCGGGGCCGCCCCCGCCCGCCTGCGTCCTGGCCACCGCCCCACGTACTCTGGCGCTTGCTTTCGTTGCTGCTGGCAAGGGGAGCCTGTCGGCTCAGGTTTCCAGTGAGTGAGCTCGTGAGTGGCCCTCCCTGCTCTGTTTGTGGAGGGCACCCGAGCCTGCAGACTGCCCTGGCAGCCGTTCACCCAGGGCCAGTCTGTATGCCTGCCTCGGAATGGGGTTGCTGGTGGGAATCAGACCACCCCACTGGGCCTGGTCCCTTCATGTACCTGGGCCAGCCGGGCCAGCCCACTGATGCCAACCCAGGGACACCACCCGCAGCCCAGGGCATGGGTGTGCGTATGTGGCTTTGACTGTCCTGGGCCAGGGAGACAAGACTCCCAGTTCCCACTCTTGCCCTCAGCCTGGTGGTTCCCAAGAGCCACCCTTTGTGTCCTAGTACCCCTGCTGGCTGAGGATCGCCATTTCAGGGGTGGTCAGTGAGGAGGGGTAGATGGTGGAAGCCAGCTTCCCCCGGTACTGAGTGAGCACTCTCTGCAGGGTTCCTGCAGTGACCGTCAGGCAGAGTTGACCTTTAGAACTGCATCCTGGCTTGTGCTGGGCCTGGTGGGGTGAAAGCCCTGGCCTACCACACTGGACTCAGGCAGGGCCAGTTTCTTGACAGCAGTCCCCACAGAGTGGGCTGGAGGTTTTGGTGCGGGCTCTCGAGGGGGACATCTGGAGAGCAGGCCTGTGCAGCAGAGCTGGGTGTTGGAGGGTGAGGGTGAGGGCGCTGGGGCATAGGGCAAGGGCCCATCCAGGAGGCGGGCAGCTGGAGCTCTGTGTCTGGGGGTGCTCAGGGTCAGGGTTTTCCAGAGGAGACTCAGCGGCCTAGAGCCAGGGAGTGGGCTGAGCAGGTGTGGAGCTAGAAGCAGCACTGAGTCTCTGAATATGCCCCTCAGCTCACGAAGACATAGGACGGCCTGCGCCCATGTCCCCCACCCCAGCATTCCTGCAGGAACACCTGGGGCGCATCTGCTCTCCAGAGTAGGGGTGTGTGGCACAGGAGCACCCACTGCACCTGTCTAGCTCTGGGAGAGGGCCAGGCTGACTGGGCCTGGGGCACCCTCTAGGTGAGGGGTGCTTCTCCCTACCCTGCAAACCAATGTGTGGCTCACTGTCCCCACTCGCTAGCGGGAATCTGGGCAGTGGGGCCACATGTGCCTGATGGCTGAGGGACGGGCCAGCAGATGGTGGGAGGAAGAGGGAGGCCAGGGTGTCTGGGCACAGACTGTGGGGCAGTCTGACAGGAGGTGGGAAGGTGGCTCCTCCTGCTGGCCCCAGCCCCCTTCTGGGTTCCCTTGACGGGTTTGGACTTGGGTCAGGAAGAGGTTGTCTTCCCTCTGGTCTGTCGCGAAGGCCTCTGGTGTGGGCTCTAGGGGCCAGCGTCCCTGCTGGAACCTTCGTGGGGTCAGTGCTGCAGGTGAGGGAGCTCATGGCGGCCTGCAGGCCCTGAGCACTTTGACAGAGATAAGACACCTCGGGAGGGGGAGGCAGCAGCAGAGGCACAGGAAGGCTGTGAGCTCCGAGGCGGGCGTTTGGTGCAGGGGGAGCTGAGTGAGCACTGAACACTACCCGCATTGTAATCGGAGAGGGGCCAGGGGAAGAGAGAGACTGAGCAAGGCTGCTGACCCCGAGCTCCCGGGGGACAGGTGGGAGAGGCGGAACGAGGAGAGAGTGAAGGATTCCAGAGGTGGGCCGGCTTCCTCTCTCGCAGACAGACACGGGAGGGAGGTGGGCAGCGGGCCAGGCCCGTACCTGCAGTTCCAATCTGCGGTCCTGACAGCTGCAGCCACTTTGGGGAGG